CTATTCGGGGTCTTTTATTGTTCCATATGAATTTTTGGATTGCTTCTTCTATTTCCTTGAAAAATGAGGTTGGAATTTTGATATGTATCACATTAAATTTGTAGATAGCCTTGGGAAGTATTTCAATTTTCACGATGTTAATCTTTCCAATCCAGGAGCATGGGAGTTTTTGCCATTTTCTAAGTTGTGATTCGATTTCCTTTTTCAATTTTTTAAGTTTTCATCTTAGAGGTCCTTCACTTCTTAAGTTAATTCCTAGGTATTTTATTTTTTTGTGGGGATATTACAAATGGAGTTGCTTTCCTAATTTCAGCCCCACTTTTCTCATTGTTGGCATACAAAAAAGCCATTGATTTTTGAGTGTTAATTTTATACCCTACTACTTTGCCAAAATTTTGAATCAGCTTGAGTAATTTGGGAGTGGAGTTTATGGGATTCTTTAAATAAAAGATCATGTCATCTGCAAAGAGGGAGAGTTTTATTTCTTCTTTCCCTATTTGGATCCCCTTTATGTCTACACCTTGTCTTATTGCTGTAGCTAGGAATTCTAATACTAGGTTGAAGAGAAGTGGAGAGTGTGGACATCCTTGTCTTGTTCCTGAGTAAAGAGGAAATGGCTTTAGTTTTTCACCATTGAGTATAAAGCTGGCTGTAGGTTTGTCATATACACCTTTATTGTATTGAGGAATGTTCCATGGATTCCTAATTTTGCCAAAACCTTCATCATAAAGGGGTGTTGGATCTTGTTGAATGCTTTTTCTGCATCTATTGAGATAACCATGTGGTTCTTATCATTGCTCCAGTTGATGTGATGAATAATATTGATTGATTTGCCTATTTTGAACCAGCTTTGCATCCCTGATATGAATCCTGTTTGATCATGCTTTATGATTTTTTTGGATGAATTGTTGAAGTTGATTGGGCAAAATTCTGTTGAAAAGTTTTGCATCAATGTTCATCAAAGAAATGGGTCTATAGTTCTCTTTCTTTGATGAATCCCTGCCTGGTTTTGGGATCAGGTTTATGATGGCTTCATAGAATGTGTTCCGTAGAGAACTTTCTATTTCAATTTTATTGAAGATTTGGAGGAATATTGGTGTGAGCTCTGCTTTGAAGGCCTTGTAGAATTCCGCTGTAAAACCATCTGGTCCTGGACTTTTCTTAGCTGGGAGGTCTCTTATTGCTGTTTCTATTTCAATGCTTTATGTGGGCCTGTTAAGATGGTTTAACTCATATTGGTTTAGTTTTGACATGTCAATATTTGCTAGGAAAAGGTCCATTTCTGCCAAGTTCTCAAACTTATTAGCATAAAGTTTTGAGAAGTATTCCCTTATAATGTTCTGAATCTTGGTTGTTTCCGTGGTGATGTTTCCATTCTCATCTCCGAGTTTATTTATTTGGGTGTGTTCTCTTTTTTTCTGATAAGATTTGCTAAGGGTCTGTCAATTTTGTTAATTTTTTCGAAGAACCAACTCTTTGTTTTGTTGATCCTTACTATAGTTTATTTGGATTCTAATTCATTTAATTCTGATTTAATTTTAATTATTTCTTTCTGTCTACTGGATTGGGGTTTATGTTGCTGCTCTTTGTCAAGGAGGCTCAGAAGTCTCATGAAATTGTTGGTTTCAGATCTCTCTAATTTGTTGATGTAGGAATTCAGAGCTATAAACATGCCTCTGAGGACTTCCTGTCCTGTGTCCCAGAGGCGCTGGTAATTTTTGTGCTTGTTTTTGTTGAATAGCATAAACACTTGAATTTCCTTTCTGATCTTTTCCATGATCCACTCGTGATTCAGCAGTGTGTTGTTCAGCCTCCATGTGTTACCGGACTATCTTTGGTGGATTTTGTTGTTGAGTTTTAATTGTATTCCCTTGTGGTCCGAGAGAATGCAAGGTATAACTTCAATGTTTCTGAATTTGGACAAGTTTGCTTTGTGGCCTAAAATGTGGTCTATTTTAGAAAATGTTCCATGTGCTGCTGAGAAAAACGTGTATTCTGATGCTGCTGGGTGAAATATTCGTTAGATGTCTGTTAAATCTAGTTGATCTATGCAGTTGTTTAGATCTGTAGTTTCTCTGTTGAGTTTTCGCCGAGTTGATCTATCTAGTGGGGAGAATGGTGGGTTAAAATCCCCAACTATTGATGTCTTTGGATCTATGTGGGATTTGAGGGAATGTAGTGTTTCCTGAAGAATTTGGGTGCTCCGTTGTTTGGCGAATGGATATTAAGAATTGTAGTATCCTTCTGAAGGGGAGATCTCTTAATTAATATGTAGCGACCTTCTTTTTCTCTTCTCACAAATTTTAATTTGAAGTCTATTTTATCTGATATTAGCATTGCAACTCCCGCCTGTTTGTGGGGGCCGTTTGCTTGGTAGATTTTGTTCCAGCTTTTAACATTGAAAATGTGTTTATTTTTATGGGCAAGATGTGACTCCTGAAGGCACCAGATAGAAGGACCTTGTTTTTTAATCCAACTAGACAGTCTATGTCACTTAATTTGACATTTGAGTCCGTTAATGTTAAGAGATAGGACTGAGAGGTATTTGGGAGTTCCTGCAATGATGTCAATCTTCTTGGGGGCTGTGAAAACTAGGTTCTTCCTATGGTTCTTGGATTCTCAGTTTGGGTGCAGTTTCTTGACCTTTATTGTGGTCTTGTTGGTTTTCTATGTGTAGAACATCATTAAGAATCTTGTGTAGGGCTGGTTTGGTGGAGATGTATTGTTTCAATTTTTCTTTGCTATGGAAGGTTTTTATTTGGCCTTCAGTTATGAAGGAGAGTTTAGCTGGATACAGTATTCTTGGTTGATAGTTGTTTGTTTTTAGGGCATGGCATATACCATTCAAGGCTCTTCTTGCTTTGATTGTCACTTCTGAGAAGTCTGAGGTGATTCTAATTGGTTTCCCTTTATAGGTGATTAATCTTTTCTCCTTGACAGCTTTAAGGATCTTTTCCTTGGTCTGAGTTGATCCTGTGTGGATTATAATGTGACGGTGAGATGTCATATTCTAGTCTGGTCTATTTGGAGTTCTAAAAGCTGCTTGTATTTGAATAGGCCTATCTTTTTGCATGTTTGGGAAGTTCTCTGCTAGGATCCTGTTAAACAAATTTCCTAGACCATTAACTTCTGTTTCTAGGTGCTCCTCTACACCCATTATCCTTAGATTAGGCCTTCTGATGGTGTTTTCCAAGTGTTGGATAGATCTCTCATATTTCTTGGATTTCTCTTGGATGGTTGTATGTTCTTTCTCTACAATGTCTAGGCTGTCTTCAATCCCCAAGATTCGATCTTCTACATGGTCTAACCTGCTGTCGAGACTTTCTATTTTGCTTTTTATTTCTTTTCCTTCTATTTGGTCATCTTTGATGGCTTCAAATTCTTTGTTGAAGCTTTTTTTAAGATCTTGTATGAAGTTCTTTACTTACTTAATTTGGTGTTCACTGTTTATTCTCAAATGATTTAGTTGATTGGTTATGGTTTCCTTGGACTCCCATTCCTTCTGTTGGGTTCCATTCAGCATTCTGTTTGTGGTCTCCCTGACTTCCTTCAGCTCTTTGTTAATGGATTCCATGAATGCCTTTAGTGATCTTTGTGTATTTTCATCCTGCTCTCTCAATTCCTATATTACTCTTTGATTAGCTTCCTCCCGTTCTTGAGATTCTTATAGTTCTCTTTGAGTGTTCTTAAGCTGCTGTGTTAAGTGTGTACACAATGGGGGATAAGGTCTAATAATCGACTACGGGTTTATCTGAGGATGTGCAGAAAAGCAATTAAGTCACATAAAGAATGAAAGAGAAGAACAGGTGAAAAGGATAAGAAAGAAAAAAAGATCAGAAGTTCAGTAGAGCTAAACAAAAATCAAGACAAAACATAAAAAAACAAAAAAAGAGGAATAAAAATGCACACACACTTATACCCCTAAAATAAAATTCTAAGAGGAAAAAAAGTTACTAGAAAACAATTTTTTTCAAAAAAGGTAAAAATTAAATTAAAAAAAAAGCATTTTTAGAAAAAAATTTTTTATAAAAGATACAACAACAACAAAAAATCTTCTTTGATTTTTTGGAGATGGGTGGGAAACATCTTGTGTCTCCCTTGTGTCCGTAACCAGCCTCTTGTTGGAGTCTCTGGTCTGCTTGTGTTCCTGTGGCTTGGTTGGTTACTTAATCAGTTTCTTTGAACAGGCAGAAAAATGCTCTGCGATCCTCCTCCCAGGTGAGTTCAATGGGTGGAAGATGGCTTTGTCCTCGAGTTTGGAGATGCTGTGATGATGCTAGGTTCTGGGTAGAATTGAGGCCTTTCAGCAAACATTAGCTTTTCCTGGGGGCTGGTTTGTGAGAAACTCATAGAGTCCAGCCTGGAGCCATTCTCAGGGTTTCTTTTTACTGAATTTCAGTTGATTGTCGAGGCTGCTAAAGGGAGGGGCAGCCTCTGGCTCTGATTACCAGGTGAAGAAAGCCACTCCTGGTGCTGGCACCCGAGCTAGGTGACTTTTCCCTGGGTGGAGTTGAGTCTGGCAGGTGAGGTAAGGCTCTTGTGACCTACTAGATGACCTTAGATTTATTCCAGGGCCTGAGTTGGAGCTAGCAGCTCCTCCGAGCTTTGTCAGTATCCAAGATGGAGATCTCCGGTACTGGGGGTGGGGAGGGGTGGCCTTCCCTCCTCTGCTCCCTGCGAAGGAGTGAGGACATCAGGCTTCTACTCACGCCGAGCCTTGGTTCCTGGGTCGTCTCTGGTCTGCGAACTGCAGGATAAAGATGTCTGCTCCTTGTCGGTTCCTGTTGGTGTTGAGTGGAATCCACTCGCCCACCACGTCTGGCTCCTTCATCCCGGACTCTCTGTGATTCAGGTATCACGCCTGCTGTCGCTTCCGCCACTGCTGCCACGGCTGTGGTGGCTGCTGGCAAGTGCCCAGGGCTGTCTCCTTGTCTGTATTTTCTCTCTCTGTCCTCACTCTCTGTCCTGTGAAGGCACACTTGTTGTGATTCTATGGCTTAGGACTTTTCCCTGGAACTCTAAAACTGCTTTCTATGCCAGAGCTTGTTTAGCCTACAGCTTCTCTTCCGCAATCTTCCTGGAACATCCTGGAAGTTTATTCATAATGCAAGAATTACAATCACAATTCACCAAACAACAGAGCACCCAAATTTATGCAAGAAACACTATTTTCCCTCAAATCACAATAGCTCCAAAGACTTGAATTGTTGGGGACGTTAACACACCACTTTCCCCACAAGACAGATAAACTCAGAAAAACTCAACAGAGAAAACACAGATCTGAACAACTGCATAGATCAACTAGATTTAACAGACATCTATTGGATATTCCAACTAGCAGCATCAGAATATACGTTTTTCTCAGCAGCACAAGGAATACTTTCCAAAATAGAACACATTTTAGGCCACAAAGCAAACTTGTCCAAATTCAGAAACATTGAAGTTATACCTTGCATTCTCTCAGACCACAAGGGAATAAAATTTGAACTCAACACCGAAAGCCACCAGAGATAGTCCACTAACACATGAAGGCTGAACAACACACTGCTGAATCACGAGTGGGTCATAGAAAAGAACAGAAAGGAAATTCATATATTCATGATATTCAACAAAAATGAACAAGCAAATTACCAACTTCTCTGGAACACAGCAAAGGCAATACTTAGGGGCAAGTTTATAGCTCTGAATTCCTACATGAACAAATTGGAGAGATTTGAAACCAACAATTTCATGAGACATCTGAGCCTCCTTGAAAAAGAGGAGCAAGATAAACCCCAATCCAGTAGACAGAAAGAAATAATTAAAATTAAAGCAGAATTAAATGAATTAGAATCCAAAAAATATAGAAAGAATCAACAAATCAAAGAGTTGCTTGTTCAAAAAAATTAATAAAATTGACAGGCCCTTAGCAAACCTTATAAGAAAAAGAAGAGAACTCACCCAAATAAATAAACACAGAGATGAGAATGGAAACATCACCACAGAAAAAAACAAGATACAGAACATTATAAGGGAATACTTCTCAAAACTTAATGCTAATAATTTTGAAAACTTAGCAGAAATGGAACTTTTCCTTGCAAATACTGACATGCCAAAAATAAACCAAGATGAGTTAAATCATTTTAACAGGCCCATATCAAGCATTGACATGGAAACAGCAATAAGAGACTTCCCATCTAAGAAAAGCCCAGGACCAGATGGTTTTACAGGGGAATTTTACAAGGCCTTCAAAACAGAGCCCAGAGCCCACACCAATACTTCTCCAACTCTTCAATAAATTGAAAGAGAAAGTTCACTACTGAAATCATTCTATGAAGCTATGATAGCCCTCATCCCAAAACTAGGCAGGGACTCATCAAAGAAAGAGAACTATAGACCCATTTATTTGATGATCATTGATGCAAAACCTCTCAACAAAATTTTGACCAATCGACTTCAACAATTCATCCAAAAAAAGTCATACACCACGATGAAATAGGTTTCATTTCAGGGATGCAAAGCTGGTTCAGTATACACAAATCAATTAATTCATCACATCAACAAGAGCAAGTATAAGAAACATATGGTTATCTCAATAGATGCAGAAAAAGCATTTGACAAAATCCAACATCCATTCATGATGAAGGTTTTGAAAAAATTAGGAATCCATGAAACATTCCTCAATACAATAAAGGCTGTATTTCACAAACCTACAGCCACCATTATACTTAATGGTGAAAAACTAAAGCCATTTCCTTTTAACTCAGGAAGGAGACAAGGATGTCCCTTCTCCACTTCTCTTCAATCTAGTATTAGAATGCCTAGCTACAACAATACGACAAGATGAAAACATAAAGGGGATCCAAATAGGGAAAGAAGTAAAACTCTACCTCTTTGCAGATGACATGATATTGTATGTAAAAAATGCCAAAGTCTGTACTCCAAAATTACTCAAGCTGATTCAAAACATTGTCAAAGTAGCTGGGTATAAAATTAACCCTCAAAAATCCATGGCTTTTCTGTTTGCCAACAATGAGAAAAGTGTGGCTGAAATTAGGAAAGCAATTCCATTCGTGATAGACCCACAAAAAATAAAATACCTAGGAATTAACTTAACCAAAGAAGTGAAGGACCTCAATGATGAAAACTTTAAAAGTTTGAAAAAGGAAATCAAAACAGAACTTAGAAGTGCAAAAACTCCCATGCTCCTGGATTGGAAAGATCAACATCTTGAAAATGGCAATACTTCCCAAGGCTATCTACAAATTCAATGTGAAACCTATCAATATTCCAACCTCATTCTTCAAAGAAATAGAAGAGGCAATCCAAAAAGTCATATGGAACAATAAAAGACCCCAAATAGATAAAACTATCCTCAACAGAAAGAACAGTGCTGGAGGAATATCAATACCAAATTTCAAACTCTACTATAAACCTACTATGAACCTACAGTCCTATAGCCCTCTAATCTTCAATATGGGAGCTAAAAAAAAATAGAATGGAAGAAAGACAGCCTCTTCAGTTAATGGTGTTGGCTTGGTTAACTACTTGTAGAAAACTAAAGCTAGCTCGTTATATATTACCCTGCACCAAAATCAACTCCAATGGAGCGAAGACCTCGGAGTCAAAGCAGACACTCTGAAAACATTACAGGATCGAATAAGAAAAACCCTTTTTCTCCTTCGCTCAGGCTGAAATTTTCTTAATATAGACCCAGAAACACAACAAATTAAAGAAAGGTTGTACAAATGGGATTGCATGAAATTGCAGAGCTTCTGTATGACAAAGGACATCGCTAGCAATATCAATAGAAAGCCCACGGATTGGGGGAAGATCTTCACTAGCCATACAACGGACAGGGGTCTCATATTTAAAACATACCTGGAACTGAAAACATTAAATCCCCCAACCACAAATCTTCAAAGAAACAACTGACCAATAAATAAGTGGGCTAAAGACTTAAACAGAAACTTCTCTGAAGAGGAATGAAAGATGGCCAATACATACTTTAAGAAATGCTCAACCTCCCTAGCCATAAAAGAAATGCAAATCAAAACAACATTGAGATATCACCTCGTCCCAGGTAGAATGGCTATAATCAAGAACTCTAATAACAACACATGCTGGAGGAGATGTGAACAGAAGGGAACCCTATGGCATTGTTGGTGGGAGTGTAAACTTGTTCAACCTCTTTGGAAAGGAGTATGGAGGTTCCTCAAAAGACTCCAAATAGAGTTCCCCTATGACCCAGCAATCCCACTTTTGGGCATTTACACAAATATTCACAAACAAGATCACACTAAAGGTACCAGCAGGATATGTTTATTGCAGAATTATTTACCATAGTTAAGATATGGAACCAAACCTGATGCCCCTCAGTAGATTAATGGATCAAGAAAATGTGGTATATATATATATATATATATATATATATATATATATATATATATATATATATATATATATATATACCACAATAGAATTCTATGCGTGCATCATAAAGAATGACATTGCCCCATTTGTGAGGAAATGGAAAGACTTGGAAAAAATTATATTAAGTGAAGTAAACCAGGCCCAAAGAAACATAGGTCCCATGGTTTTCCTTTTTTCCAATAAATAGTATATGTCTGAATCAAGCAGAATAGCTCAGATATATTGATGTTAGGGAAATGTACCCTAAGATATGTACTCAAATGCTGTTTTCTTTCATGTGATTTTTTCTAACACATTTATAAGATGATATCTTTGTTGCTTTGTATGTCCCTCCCCCTTGGTATAACCCCTACTTTCACTGTATTTGATGTTGTTATAATTTGTGGAGGGTAAGGGCAAAAACAAATCGTTTAAATAGGGATACAGGTGGACCCATTGCAACAATGAGATGTACAAGTCGTTATGTCGAAAACGAACTTTCCAACTTTGGTGTGGGGTGATTGTAGGCTTGGGTAGAGGGATGGGGGAGGATGGAATAGAAAGGGGAAACAAAGGAGCAGGCTACAATGCTTGATAAGAAATGTACTCATTATCTTGCTCATGTAATTGTAACCCCCTTGTACAATATTTTCACAATAAAAACAAATAATAATCTAGAAAAAAAAAAGAAAAGAAGCTAGGCTTAACACCTTTATAACTTTTAAAAACATCCTAATTGTAGAACATCATTGAAAGCAAGTTCCATTATACAAATAAACTTTTTAACCCTCCTTTGAACGCCTTTTTAATTGTAATTTTAACACATACAAGGGGCAGTTTTAGCAATAATAATCAGATCATCACATCACTCATTTTAACCATCATGTTTTCAGTGTCTATCTGCAGGGAAAAAAGACCGAACAAAGATGGGCCACTCAGCCCCTCCTATGGAATGGGCACACACCCAATCTGACTCTTTAAGGTTAGATGAACTGCGTTTATGCCAGCTTGCCCTCCTTTACCATGTGTGGACTCCTCCCAGGGCCAGTCCCACCATCTATGAAGCCCCCCCGCCAGGGTTGGTCCCACCATGCATGACCTGCTTAACTGCACTTCTGCCTGCTCATCCTCACCCCTAAATATAGATCTTAGGTGGTCTTCTAAGTTTTCCCATTTTTGGTGGGGAGGTTTGAATAAAATACTGCTTTAGATAGACAGAACGGGTCATGTTTTGTAACAGTGCTAAATTGACCTTTACATTTAAATTTTTAACATTTATCCTGAAATTTTAGCCAAGGGAACTAAATCCCAAACTGCCGAAACATTTTAAAATATTAAATTTTAAAATAACAGATTTTCTAATTTCTACATTAAAGAATCCTTAAAAAGCCATTTAAAACAATGTGAAAGATTTTTTAATTTTTAGTAATGTCTAAATCCCTTAACCTTTTACATTTTAAACTTAAACTCACCCAATTTTTACAGCATGTTGACAATTTTTATCTTGAACATGTTTACAAACACATAGAAAACACACACATCTTAAAGCGTGCAAAAATCAAAATCAGTTGTACATAGATTTTTTTTTAAGTTTTTTAACAAAAATTTAATACAGTATTTTTTTTAACTAAGTACCTTTGTTAAGCTTCATTTTCCCAGGCTTGCTTGTTTAGCAAGGCAATTCACCAACGGATCTTTTGAACACCTTCTGTTGCAGAAGGGCTGGTTGACGGGGTCACCTGAAAATAAACTGGCCTGAATTTTATCCAATATTAGACAAGAGCACTTTAAAAATTGTTACATTGTCAGGACTCGCTGAAAAGTCCAAACCAGGTGCTTAGTCTTCCACACCCTCTGCTCAGGCAGCCTCCACAAGGAGAAAATGCATCCCAAGGCCTGAAAGGTACCAGACTAGTCCAGTAACCTTTCACACCTCACAATGAGGGGAGCATAACAGGTCTGTGGCTGAGCCCAGCCAGAGGCTGGAACTTTTATTTCCCCAGAGTTGTTCAAATAAATAACAAAAATATAAATAAACACAAAAACCAAGAATCCACACTTAAAACAGGTACCAATTCTAAAACAGAACTAGACAACAAAGGCTGAGTTGGGGACTAATGGACCCTCAGTTCAACCCTACCAGAACTGCTCCATTCTCACTCAGCAAGCTGAAATCAGAGTCTGCTGAGTGAGCTGGCCACCCTCACCCAGAATTTCCCCACCTCAAAAATAGAACAGAAATGACACCAAAGTAAACAAGACAGACAAGTGGCCACAAAGACAAAATCAGATCTCCTTGAATTTGGCAACATCTCACCACCAGAGGATTTCTTTCTTTTTTTTTTTTTTTAGATAACTGCAAATGTTGACCCAGGGGCCTTCCAAGGTGGAGGAGAACTCCCAATCATCTTGGGGCAAGGGAAAAATGACCCTGGAAGCTATCCCCTCAGACTGACAGTCTCCCACCCCCCATACTCAGAACCTCTGGGCCAAGTCCCGAGGCTAAGATCTTGCTGGTGGCACTTGGTGGTCAGTGGCAGATTCATCTGGCTTAGAGTTTTCCCTGCAGGCCCCTTTCAAAGTTATTGCTAGATCCTGCAGGTTCTCCCTTCCCCCACTACCTCCTCCTCTAGAGAATAAGTCAACCCTTGATGTCATCCTAAAATTCCAAAAGTATTAAAATGGGAGAGCGCCTGAGGTGAAAGGAGCCTCTGGCCCCCACTTTTGTGGGGGCTCCAGGATGCTCACTGATCTGAAAATGAAATAAAATGAATCAGGAAAGGAAAGAAAGAGAGGCGCTGAATTAAAATGACAATGGCAACTACAAATGAGATAAAGAGAGCATGCATGTTGATCTCAAGCTCGAATCCACCCCTAAACCACGGTGGTGGAGGCCAGACGAGTTCCTGTCCCAAAGGATGGCAGAGGCCTGTGAGTCAATACCCAGGAGGTGGTTAATCTACCCTTAACCCAGAGTGGCAGAGGCTGGACAAGTCATGGTCCAAAAGACGACAGAGTCCAGAGAGACCCCACTGGGGAGGGCTTCCCCAAGGGCCCAGGAAATGTCTTCCACCGGCCTGCTGGTTACCTTGTAGCACATCCGCCAACATTTCTTGCCAGCTCCAAAACCCTACTTGCAAGTCAAACATAAAACACTCAACATAAAGCAGCTGCACCCCCTCTTACCGGCTAGCTGGACGACTCGCTGATCAGGTATTTGGGTGGCTTATGGGGGGGCTATCCCAGAGGAGCTCCCACATAAAGTGCCCAGTTTTTGGACGCCCCCTCTCAGAACACCAGAGACCATGATCAATGCAAACAGCAAAGAGTCGTTTATTGCAAGCTGGAGTTTGGTCCTCTGTGCACTTGGTAACCGGTGATGCTAAGAGGCCCCAAGCATAAAATTGGCACAGCTTTTATATTATCAAACAAACAAGTTTAGGGGGTTTCCACACAAGCAAGTTCACAAGTTCAGGGGGTTTAAGTCCACCCTGATCGCACTTCCCTTTTTCAGCTGAAACACCTGGGCAACTGTTCTGTTTTTTAAGGGTGGGTAGGGTTGGTGGCAACCTGCGGTTTTTCTGAGAACTATTTTTCTCTTTGGCAGCACAGCTCTCTTTGGGGGTTACTTTGAGGGCAGCACAGCTCAGGGGCCTTGATCTTAAAATGGAATTACTTTAGTTCTTCAGTTAGGTCCTGAGCTCAAGCACCAGGAATGGTGTATGCACACACACACACACACACACACACACACACACACACACACATACACACACACCCCACATGGAGGCACCTTTGCCAAAAATGTATCATTCCATTATGTTCAGCTCCCTAATTGTCTGGCAGAAGGACTCTTGAATTAATTGTAGCAGTTTGTTTCAACACTGAAACATAGTCTTACAAAGACAGCATGAGTGCAGGGAACTTGGCCTGCCACAAAAGGTGGCACAAATAAAGGCTTCCTGTCAAAACAGACCACTGGGGAGAGAGATAGCTTGGGGTACAAACAAGCCTTTTTCTCCTGACTTTCAGAACCTGCGCACGTTCATCCTCATTAATTGGCCTGGATGAATTTTTTGTTATGCAGCTTTACAGGAGTGAAGATTTTTGTCTGCCTGTTCCAACAACGAAGTCGACTTCCTCCGGCAGCCTGGGGTATGGAGACTCAGCAGGCTACACTGGGAACAATGAGGGAGCACCAGAACATGGATTGTCTTGAAAGCACTCTCTGTGCTATGAAATCATTCTATTCAAAGCAAATTTCCTAGCTGGGTGCCTTTCTTCATAGCAACTCTGGATCTTCACTGATACAAATACATGCATACATACACAGAAACATGGAGTTGCTGGCTCTTTTTTTTTTGTGGCAGGTACTGAGGCTTGAACTGTGAGCCTAGACATTTTCCCTGAGCTCCCTTTGCTCAAGGAAACATTTTAGTGTGTATTAAACCATGATTACCCTAGGCTGGGGTACAGCTTGTACACCCACAGATGATCCAGGGATCCTAGGACCAGAATTCCACTCCCAGCACTGGCAAAAATACATTAAACCAACAAAAATGGAGGAGGAAAAATCAGAAAATGTTACACAACAGTTTTTACCTTTGTTTCCTTAGCACTGTGACCCTCCTGAGCCTCAATGACTTGGCTTGAAAATTGTATGTGACCTTGCATGGATGATGGCTAGGGGGCTGTCAGTGAAGCTTGAGGCAAACCCAGACACCTAGGCCCTGAGATCAATCGTAGGACTGCCACCTACACACAGCTGAAGATCCTAGGAAACTCGTGCCTATCTATAGGAACACTAACAGAATATTTGACATATACTAATTGAATTACTAACTAGCTAGTCATTCTAATATAAGATTGTATGCAATAAATATAGGTCATTGATTAATTAGTACTTTATTAATTCTTCTACCATGATAATTGGAAGCATAATTTTATACCAAATAATTGGTAGTAATAGAATATATAAAAATAAGTTGCAGACATCACTCTTTATATTGGGTTATACACTAGAATCTACATAAATGTCTATCTGTGTCTCTCTGTATATATTTATAGATGCATATACATATGTAAATACATACACACATGCACACACACACACACACAAACAAACACACACACTCTGCAATCTAAACATCTACCTGTTTATATATTGGTCATTCCTGTGGCTTGATCTCAGGTCCTCAAATTGGCCTGCCAACTTCATTTGCATCAGACTAGTGTGCTAACATGTAACCATTCATGAAGTGGGCCTGCTAGGCCCTGAGTTCAAGTCAGAGAATTGCCAAAAACTTAATCCTGTTGGAAAAGCCAATTGTTCCAGTTGTTTTCCGTATCTGTGAAAGTCCTGGGTCTCAGGAATGATGTAGAATACATAGGAAAACCTATGTCTTATGTAATAGGATGCAAAATGTTATATGTGTAATCATACTCACTCTCAAATACATAAGAAATAAAACACAAAATAAAATGAATACACTAACTGCAACATGCAATAAACACGTGTATGTAAATATAAATCATGTATTTCAAATATATACGAATATTATATATATATTATTTTTTCAAGTGCTAGGATTTGAATTCAGGCCCTGGGAACAAGCCTGACTTTCTTGTCTTCCAGCACGGTGATCTTCCCATCCCCCACAGTGCTACAGATTTACTCACACCCTGAGTTCAAATCCCAGGCCTGACAAAAACAATGGCCTGAATTCCAAGCCAAGGAGCCACATAATATTTTAAGTATTTTAATGTATATATGTATGTATGTATGTATGTATGTATGTATGTATGTATGTATGTATGTATTTTTATTTTTCAAGCACAGGGCTTGATCTCAGGTAGTGGCAATTCTGTCTCAGCATTGATCACTCTAGGCTGGGGTGCAACCACTGGACTCACAGACAAACCTGGGTTCCTGGGCCTCAAATGCTGAGAGGAAAACAATAATAAATAATGCGACACAGAAAAATAAAAACTGGCAACTTCCTAGTTTTACATTTGTTTTCTTTGCAAAGTGACCATCCTGGGTCTGAATGACACGGCTGCAAAATGTTGGTAACCTGGCATTTCTGAAGGCTGGTGGGCTACCAGGGAAGCCTTAGGCCAACACGGCAACATAGGCCATGTGTTTGAAGCACAGTCCTGACCCCTACCAATGGAGAGAGATCCTAAGAGTCTTGTTCCTATTCATAGGATTAGCGATGGAAGATTATGAATGGCAAAGTTGAATTAGTTGTTTCTGAATACTACTATACAATTAGATGGAGGGATTTTAGGAGACCAATGGATTTTAATGAATATTTTTGATACATTCAAAGAATACTATTAATTACATGGATGCAATAGATTTGGGACAGTGGTTGATTTTTTAATAATTCATTAAGGATGAAAACAAGAATATTAATTACATGGACGCATAATAAATACCCAAGAATTGGTAGGAATGCAGTGCATATACCTGAATAATGTATAGACATCACTGGCACTCTATAAAGATCTATATTTATTTGTGTACTGCCATCTGCATGTCAATCTGTTCTTATTTTGTCAACCCCTGGGCTCGATCTCAGGTGCTAGAAATACTTGTCAGCTCAATATGTCCCAAGCTGGTGTGCTGACACTCACCCATTCATGAATTGGGACTTATAGGCTGTGAGTTCTAATGCCAGCACTCACAAAAATTGAATCGTGGAGTAAGAATCCCATGGTGACACGTTTTCTGATTCTTTGAAGTCCTGAGTGTAAGGTATGAAGTTTCATACACAGGCAAATCTATATCTTATGTAATATATGTAGTAAATATTTCATGTGTAATAATAGTCAATAAAATAAATGGTAAATAAATTAATAAAACAAAAAATAAAATGAATAACTACACTAAGTGAAATATGTGTTCAACATATGGGGCTCGATATCAGGGCCTGGGAACAGCCTGGCAGCTGAATAGGCTAGAGGCTTCTGTGCTGACAGTCAGCCATTCATGAATTGAGCCTTCTAGGCCCTGAATTTAGATCCCAGTACTGCCAAAAATGTAATCGAGGAGGAAGAAGCCGAGCGTGACACATGTTTTTTTTTTCTTTGAAAGTGCTCAGTGACAGGATGTATAATTCAGATGCAAATATATATGCTATGTAATAGGATATCATAAATGTAAAAAATGTCATTGGTGGAAGAATTGTCACTACAATAAATGAAAAACAGATTGAATTAGTAGTGAATCATTCTAGGATAAAATTAGACACACTAGTTATAGGCGTGGATTAAGTTTAATATTTTATTAAGCATTAATAGAATAAAAATTGCATGGAAACATAAATGCCTAATAATTGGTAGTAACACGTGATGTATAATTTAATTATATAGACATCTGTCGCATTCTATAAAATATGTAATTTATATACAGATGTATGTACATATAATTTTAATTAATGCTTTATTAATTGCTGAGACACATGATTAAATGGAGACATAACTTAATACCTAAAAATTGGTAGTAATATTATCTATAAATTAATAATGTACAGACATCTTTTGTGTATATAAAATCATATACAGCAACCTCTATCTATTTATAACTCTTTCACTCCTGGGGCTCTTTGGTTGAGTGCTTGACTAGTAAGCACGAAGCCCTGGGTTCGAGCCCTAGTGCCACATAAAAAGAAAACCTAGAAGTTCAGCTGTTTTTCAATCAACTGAGTGCTAGCCTTGAGCACAAACCCTTAGGGACAGTGTCAAAGCCCTTACTCAAGTCGCCGGACTGTCAAAAAAAAAAAAGGTAGAATATACTCACTGCAACTATAGAAGGACAGGACATCAAATACCTCATCACAGAGAAAGCTAGGAGTCTGGTGCTGACAGCTGTCACCTAACCTGACTTAGCCAGATGTAAACTGCTGTATCCCAGCTCCATGGGTTACCCCCATCATCCTGGCTTACCCTGGCTTACCCCCGACATCTTGGCTGCTTGGGGACTTTAAATCCTGGCAGGAAGTCTGCTAGAATCTTTGAAATATGGCTTGAAATGGTAGAGCACTAGCCTTGAGCAAATGTTAGTAGAAAAGTATCCCCATGTTTTGAGCTCAAGCCCCATAAGTAACCTCCCCCAAAATAAAAACACCTCACTAATTAAACTACTAGTTATGAAATGTTCCTCAAAGAATGTGAAACCACCTTAATTCTAATGATAGCTTGTGGAACAGAGCTTTGTGCTGAGTCTTTCATAGGGTGATCTGTGCTGAGTCCTGCACAAGATGGAGTGTGCTGAGTCCTTCATTGGGTGCTGGGTGCTGAGACTTTCACAGGATGCTGTGTGCTGAGTCATGCAAGAGTGCCATGTGCTGTGTCTTTCACAGGGTGC